CAATTGGCAAAACAGAGACCTCCACCTTATAGCCGTACATGTTATGCTTTCCGCTATAATAGCGCTTACCCACTTGTACGCTTCCGGAAGGGCGAAAGCAAGGTTGAAACGTCACATCAGTGGCGTACCGCGCCATAGGGTAGTGAGAAAAACATTTTTTCTTTGCCACGAGCTCCTTCATCGTCCACTTTTTCGCATGATACTCCACGTAGGATTCGTAAAACGCATCGCAAACGAGATCAACAAAATTCCAAATCATGCGCTCCATGGTAGGGCCTTTGAAATTGAACATGTTTCCAAGAAATGCCCAGTCACCGCCATGTTTCATGACAGTCATCGTCATAAACAACATGTCTTTGGCCGTGACGGTGCTCGTCCGACCACGACCAGTGTTGTAATGATCGAGAATGAAATTTTCAAAGCCAGCCCATATGCCTTGGAATTGCAATAGGTCGAAGTTGATCATTTTGGACGATACCTTGCGAGCCGTGGGCGTTGTAGTACTGATCGAAAATGGGTGCATCCGTGCCATTATCGTCATCGGAGGGAGGATGAATCGGATCACTGTAGTTTTGCAACTCATTTTGACGCTCGATGGCGAGCTCCGCAAGAATTTGTAGGGAATTCTTGGCTCTGTCGACGGTAATTGAGGCCATCTTTTGAGGGATATGGGGAGTGGGCGGTAGGAAGGATGGGGAGTTGGGGGTGGGAGGGATGAAGAGTTGGGGTGTGACGGATGAAGAGTTGGGGTGGGAGGGATGGGGAGTTGTGGTGGGAGGGATGGGGTGTGGGGGTGGGTGGGATGGGGAGTTGCGACCGTGATGGTCTTTGTTGGGTGTCGGGTTTTGGCGGGGAAGCCCACATATTGCCCATTTTGGGCGCCATTTCCGAAATCACTTCGTCTCTTTTGTGAGAATTGTGTAGCTGCGCAATACGGGTCATCTCTGAAATTTGCCACGTAGTTGCGCACTGCTGTGTCCAATTGCAACATATCATAAATTTGTTGAAAATATCAGTGAATGTTGATACACATCGGCATAACCGTTTTAGGATTCTTTTTTTGCAAACGATTGGCTCTTTCAGGAATTCTCGGATATTTGTGACAATGGTCTACCCTTCTCACTGGGTCAATTTTGGACATGGTCCAATTATGGACACCAACTTTGGATTGGCACAGTCCATCGCTAGAAGAAGAAATGGCAGTGTTCTACTGGTCAGCAGTCTGAGAACAGCCTATACAATCATCCAGAGCACATTTGAATTGTCCCGCCCAACTCAGCGCCACACTATCATAAAAATTCCGAGCGCCGATCTTCGTCCAATCCCAACTTCGAGACCATTCTTCAAGCTCCAATACCCTTATCATGCCCCGTTCCATGAAAAAGCAGACTCGGGACAACGGCAAGCGATCCATTGAACGTACTGTAACCATCGAATCTCGACGGAAGGCAGTGGAACTGTTGAAAAGCAGCAAATCAATACGCAAAACGGCTGCCATAACAGGTCTCAGCAAGTCGTTGGTTGGAATTCTTAAATTGGAGCTCAAAAAAATTGGGCATGCTGCACTGCTGTCGAGGTTGGAAACAGAGCAAAATGGACCTGGCAGGCGGACAATACTCAGTCCAAATGAAGAAAACCTGGTTGTCGCTCAGATAAAAGTTGCTGCGCAAAGAGGATTTGCAATAGACAATTCTGGGCTGAAATATATGATGGCACAGATTGCATGTGACGGTAGAGCAGGGTGGAAATAGAGCGATCCTAGCGACGACGCTGTGCGCTCATTCCGTGCAAGACACAGGGATATTTGTCTCAGGACGACAGAAAACAAAGACGGGGTAAAACTGAAAGGCGAAAACCACAATCATGTAAAGGGATACTTTGATGCGCTGCGAAAAATTTCCAGGCAATACCCAGGTATACGAAAAGACGGGGACAGGATATGGAATATGGATGAGTCCGCAGTAGAAACAGAATTCGGAAAAAAGACTAAATCTTACTCAGAGGCAGGTTCACATCATGGCGGTTCTCGCACGTCACACTCATCTTCAGGTCCAGGGAAACATGTTACGGCTTTAATCGCAGCCTCTGGCTCTGGTTAAAAGACTCCTCCGTTCTTTTTTGTCGCGGGAAAATACGTTTTGCAGAATTGGCTTGAACCACTGAGTCTGGGCGATCGACCGTGTAGTATAACGACGGACGCGCGCGCGGGGATATTATTAACAGTGCAGCCGTGCACGGTGGACACGTGGGCGGGTGTGCCCACGTGAAGGGAGCGCGCGCGTGCCGAGCGGTCGTAATTTGGCGTACGTGTACAGTAGTGCACGTGTCGGCCCAGCGGTAGTCTGCTAGTATTACGTGTACGCTAGCACACGTGGCATCCGTGCGGTAGTCTGTAAGCAGCGCGTGTGTACAGTAGTACACACGTGTAGCTGCAGCGTCCGCGCGGTAATTACGAATTGAGGGGCTAGTTTTTTAATGGCGTACAGTACCTGGTACGCACTAGGCGGCAGGTACTGTACACTGGGACAGGTGTCCGAGGCGTCCCTCTGAGGGGTTAAGACCTGACACCCGTCCCCACCAGTAAACTGGGGCAAGCTCGCCCCCGTCCCTTTTGCGCCTACGTACGTCCGTTTCGGTTGTCCGTCAGGCGCGCTGGCTTGTAACCCGTTACCGGTCGCTCCCGTTCACGCACCACGGGGCGACTGCGCGTAACCGGCCAGTGAGCCACTCCCTTTTCGCGAGCTCGTCCGATCGGTTTAATTGGCGCGTCGCGTCCGCGCCGCGTGCTCCCTCGCTAAAGCCTCCGCCTCTCACCCAACCCAGGGCGGAGAGGAGTTATCCCAGACCGGTTGCTTCGCCGTCCATAAAAAGCTGGGGAAGACGGATTGGTTTCCACGGGAGGGAGTAATCAAATGCAGCGCAAACAGGTCTACGGAGCGAAACAATATACGCCTTTTCGTCGAGCACTTCAACACGTATGCTCGAGAAATTGCGCCGCAGAACATCGCAATCGTTCTCACACTTGACGGTCATGCCTCTAAAGGCGGGTATGAATGGCTAGAAGTATGTCGTAAGTACAACATTGAGGTAATACAGGCCCCGGCCAACACATCACACTTCCTTCAGCTGTGTGATCAATCCATCAACAAGACATTTAAACAGTCTGTTCGGGAGATCCGTGACACCATCTGCAGCACCACATTGAGCGATACAAAAACAGTTAAATTCAAGTTGATGTGCGGTGTTTTCGGTCATGAACAGATCACGGTT